GAATGACAACGGAGATGGTGGCGGCTAGGAGATTAATGGACACTTGAAAGAAGGTGTTCCAAACTTCAAACCCTAATGGGTACAAAGTTCTAATGGACACAAAACCCTGGCACAAAATCCTAAGATCCAAAAAATTTTAGAGGAAACCTAGGGCTCTGATACCATATAAGAAAAGAAAATAATTCTTCCTTGATTACTACAAATGATTGATACAAGGCTATATAAATAGCAGTCACAAAGAAGAAGCTAAAAAGAAATTCTTGCCTATTAGAATAAGGAAATACTTACGTATTAGAACAATAAAACTCTAACCTAAATAAAATAGGAAACCTTTAAAACAAAATAAACTATAATTTAACAAGTTCAAAAACTAGACTAATGTACGTGATATCTAAGAACAAACCATTTATTTGTTACAAATACTACGGTGCTTAAAAGGTTGGACTCGTTTGTTTAGTGCTGATGTAGAAGTCTTCTTGGTGACTGATAAGTGTATTCTGTTCATTGTGATCTTAATAAGCAGAAATTTTACTTTGCTAGTTTGCTCCCTGAATTCAATAGGGAAATCAATAAGGCATTCTGTGGTTTCTTTGATCAATCAAAATGTAAGCAGTATGAGAGACTATTCTTAGGAAGTGAGGAAGATATTACAGACCATAAAGACCCGTCAAGAAACAATCTCGTGGTAAAATTTCTATCAATTTTTGTTCTCTGATTTTTGACATCATTGTCAAATCAAGTTAAGAACCATAGAGCGAGGACAATGATCATAGTTAGCATTCTTAAATGATCCCGCTCAAAGTTCCTTTGAATTTAGTTTCGATTTATTTTATTAAAATGATTTTTTTTTTTTTTGTTAAAACATGCTTTGTGCACATCAAATTATTTTATCTTCCGCATGCTAATTTGATTGCTTGGCTTTTGGTGCTATTATTCTAGGTTCACGAAACTAGCTCGGATACTAGAGAGAATTATGTTGGTAGATCTCTAACTCCAGAATACTCGGACCACAAAGATGATATTGGGATTGCGACTGGCAATTGGGGTTGTGGTGCCTTTGGAGGAGATCCTCACGTGAAGTCCATAATTCAATGGCTCGCTGCTTCTCAGGTACCTTTCAAGTGTTTGTATGAAAATCCACCCCTGGTGTATCTCGACAAGGGTAGTGATAGCTATTTATTAGAAGATATTACTCCTGGTGGCAAGCTACAAGCCTAGTACAAAATGTCTGTGAGCCAATTTGAGAGGCCAATTCATCTTCCTACCCTACAACATTTAGATTCTCCCTACTGGTACCCCAAAGAAACCTATTTTTTATCTACTTATATTTTGTCCATACCACCCCAAAGTAACTACTTGTGGTGAAATTATTGAGGGAGTCGCTACAATATGATCGGTAGTTTTTCCCTGTTGTAAGTATGAGATAGAAGAAACTATTGTATCTAATAATAACTGTTAGGGAGCATGCATAGTTATTAGGAAGCAATAGATTGTGACAGCCTCATTCAATAATTTTTCTTACTATCATCATAGTTTGAAGTTACATTACCTTTTTCACCCTCCTAGAATACACTTTCAAGATAGGGTAGCCTTAGCTTTTGTCTTCACTGATACTGCACCCCTCACATTATCCATGGGAAACTCAGCATGTTAAGATGTAGAAAGTAGAGAATCCCCAATATCAACCCCTAAAACTCTTTCCATTTTCTTGGTTCCAAGTTTTCTTGATAACCAATTATATATTTTTCAGGCGTTAAGACCTTTCATTTTATATTACACATTTGGCATCGAATCAATGCAGAGCCTAGAAAAGGTACATATCCTTCCTTGACCTCGTGGAAGTTTCTGTATGAATAGTCTCTGATATATCTACTAAAAAGCTACTTCTGGCGATGACACGTGGAAAGTAAATTGATAACTGCTGGGTTATAAGAAAATAAAAATCCAGTTAATTTTTGTATGATTCAAAATCTATTATAGTCCCTGAGCTTTCACATCTATTTTGTTTTTGGTCTAACTAAAATGAATTGAACACGAAAATTCAGGGGCTAAAATAAGAATATAAGAATTAACATTGATGTATGTTTCATGATTTTTTTGAATGGATGTTGGATATTGTGGGACAGGTGAGTGAATGGATTTTGGCACATAAATGGACGGTTGGTGATCTATGGAGTATGTTGGTGGAATATTGTTCTCAGATATCAAGGGGACAAACTCATGCTGTTTTCTTTGATTGGCTCCTACCAGCCTCCTCCAAAACTAACTTATGTTGCTTCTCTTGATTTGGCTGTTTGGATAATATTATTAAGAAGAGGGAAAATATCAACTAGTAGTGTTTGAGATAAATCATGGGATGCTTGCCTATATTAGTAAAACAAGTTTAATTAATTGCACAATATTTTATATTTTAAAAACATAGCAAAAAATCAAAACTCGTGATAAATAGCATTGAAACATGATAGTGCTAAATGTTTGTCATTGAAATGTCTTTGATTAAAAATTTATACCATTGATAGATGTTTGATAGACCATATTAGATTGATGTTTAATAGATTATCATTGATAGGCGTATGTTGATGATATAGTCTTATTCGTAATAGATTGATATAAGAACACAAAACTGTCTTGACAGATGCATGATAAGTTTGGGCCTTTTT